TTCTCATGGACTGACTGATTGTGTTTCTGTGTAACACATCACATGTACAGAGGCCAGAGGATAACTTGCAGGAAATCAAATTCAGGTTACCTGGCTTGGCAGTAAGCATTGTCCACTGAACCACTTCAATGGTGCCCCCGGCCTCTTTTTTTGTGCAAAGTCTAGTAGCCCTATGTCCCAATGCAGCCTGGGACTCACCACCCTTCTGTCTCTGCCTCCTGGGATTACAATCTCATTTTGACAATCCTTCTTAAATCTCTTGTGCTTGTGGGGTGTGGTGGCTCATGCCTTTAGTCTCAGCCCTCAGGAGACAGTTGCAGATGCTTTGTGAGTTTGAGGTCAACCTGGTCTACATAGCACGTAAATAAGACCTTGTCTCAAAAAACACAACAAAACACAAAACTCTTGTGCCTGAATCTTGTGACTTCCTAGATCAGTGGTTTTCAACTTTCCTAACCCTTTAATACAGTTCCTCTTGTTGTCGTGACCCCACAAACATAAAAATTAAAGTTATTTTCACTGTTACTTTATAACTGTAATTGTGCTACTGCTGTGAATCATAATGTAAATATCTGTGTTTTCTGATTGTCTTAGGCGACCCTGTGAAAGGTGAAGAATGCTGTCCTAGATTTTCTTTTCTTTTCTCTTGGGACAAATGTCTTTTATTGTTGATTTTCAGAAATCAATTATTTGTATATTTCAGATGTGTGTGTGTTGATTGTAGACATTTCTCAATCTTTCATCTGAATTCTCACTTGGTCCATGGTTTATTAATGGCAGTAATTCTTCTTCTTCTCCCCCCCCCCCAGACAGGGTTTCTTTGTGTAGCTTTGCGCCTTTCCTGGAACTCACTTGGTAGCCCAGGCTGGCCTCAAACTCACAGAGATCCGCCTGCCTCTGCCTCCCGAGTGCTGGGATTAAAGGCGTGAGCCACCACCGCCCGGCGTAATTCTTCATTTTTATGTGTACCTATCCTCTCCTCCTTCCCCACTTCCTCCTCAGAATGTCAGGCTTCCAAAGACTTTGGGCTAACACACACTTGGTTAAAGCTCAACTTTTTCTTTTTTTTTTAATGTTTTATTGGTATTTTGAGACAGGGTTTCTCTCTGTAACCCTGACTGTCCTGGAACACGCTTTGTAGAACAGGTTGTCCTTGGACTCAGAAATCCTCTTGCCTCTGCCTCCCAAGCACTGGGCTTAAAGGCATGTGCCACCACTACCCAGCAAAGCTCAAACTCTTAACAGTTTCAAAACATTGAAAACATGGCTTCCACCCCAGCTTCAGCCTCTCCGGAAGACTCCCTGGTCACTACATTGGACATTCTGAAGGCGCCTGGCACGGTCACTCGCTGTGGCCCTCTAAGAAGGCCTAACTGCCCTGTGCGTGCTTCCCTCCTGGCACAGCAGAGCTGTTCCTGAAGAGCTGACACCCTCACACACTGTGCAGTCATGGCCTCCTTTTCTCTCTGCTTGAGTTTTGCCCAGTTTAGATTAACATAGGACAGCATATTGGATGATCTCTTGAACCCACCAGTTTGGTGCCAACCTGGACAATAAAACAAGACTCCACACAAACTAATCAACTTCAAGATGGAAATAAGGATGTACCTGCATGGTGACATGCTCCTATGGTGATATTTTATTTGTGCTGAAATGTGATTTCATTTGTATGTTAATAAAGTTGCGTGGGGGTCAGAGGTAATAGCAAGCCATAGCAGAGCTGGGCGTTTGTGGTATACACCTTTAATCCCAGCACTTGGTAGAAGAGCTAGGTAGATCTCTGTGTGGTCAAGGATACAGCCAGCACTGGAGACATACGCCTTTAATCTCAATACTATAGAAGACCTGGAGGGCTGTACATACAGGTAGTGACGAGGCAGTCATGTGTTTGGGTTTACAACCAATGAGAAGGCAGAACAGAAAGACTATATAAAGACAAACACACAGGAAGTAGGTCCCTTTGGGAGAGGTCTCTTGGCTTAAGAGGCTAGCTGCAGCAGGCGGTAAGGCTCTTAGCTCTATCTCTTGGCTTTCTTCTTTGCATTGGTTCTGTGTTTCTTATTTAATAAGACGGTTGGTTACATCTACATGCTCCTATAATCCCAGCACACAGGAGGGGTAGAGAAAATAAGCTTGAGGCTAGCCTAGGCTACATAAAGATGTTCTTCCTCAGAAAAAAATGGTAATTTTGAGGAAGTGTCTCACTATGTTGCCTAGGCTGCCTTTGCACTGAGTCTTTGCAGCTCTTTTCATTGGGAGGTGGGGCTGTTCTCCACCTGGTGGACCTGATCTGAGAGGAGAACTTACTTGCTCTGGACTGAGGCATGTTGTAAAAATGCTAATTCTGAAGCTAAGTGTGGAGAGATCCTAAGTGTCCTGCCTCTTCTCTCTTGGAGCCCTGTATTCCTTGCTAGAAAATGCAGACTGCCATCAAGGAAGAAAGGAAGGGGACAAATGAAAGGTCCAGCTGGCCCAGCAAGGACGCAAAGTTGCTTTTCTATTGGTTTTGTTTCTCCTCTTCTTTTATTTTCCTAGTTTTGGATGTACAGCTCAAGAACTTGTGCATGCTAAGCAAGCCCTCTAGCACTGAGATACATCCAAAACCCTTATATGAGAGAAGGTATTGTTATATAGCCCAGCCTGGCCTGAAACTCACCCACCTGGCACAGTCACCCAAGTTTGAGTTTACAGGTGCCCAATTTAAAGCCAGTGATTTAAAATGGTGTGATAATTAGAAAGAGATATCCAACAGATGTCCCTTAGATGGATGTCCCTTAAAATGTGGGACTACAATGTTCATAAGACATGGCCATTTGTCCCCCATTTCCTGATAGTGTCAACCTGTTTCACTATCCCATTGAGAGGTTGTGATAGTGGCAGATTATTTTGTCAATTTAGATGGACTAAAGCACCCAATGATTTAATCAGATCCATCTATATGTGGCTTTCATGTGCTTTGTTGTATGTAGAGCTCATGCCTGGCATGCAAGAGGCCCTGGATTCTTTCCCTGGTACTACAAAAAGTGATGATAGCCTTCGTTAATTTGAATGGGTCTCACTCTTTAGTTGAAAGGCCAGAGAGCAAAAACTGACTTTCTCAGTAAGGACAAAATTCTGCTCTGTGCCTGTAGACTCAGCATCTGTCTGAGTTTGTGCCTGGAGCCAGAGGCTCTACAGATTTTGGACTTGTCTGTCAAATAACCACATGGACCAGTCCTTAAAATAAACCTGCTAAGATAGAAAGAAGCCAGACACAGCACACGTGTGTAATAACCCCATCTGGGAGGCTGAGACATAAGGAGTATAAGTTTAAAATGAACCTGGGTTATATATCTCAAGATAAATGTGATACATATCTTTAGACTAATAGATTGAATGTATTTTAGCCAGAAATCAGTTGCTTTGACAACATGCCCAGGACAAATAGTTTATAAGGTGGAGGAACTTATTTTGGCTCATGGTTTTAGGTCATAGGCAACTATGGGACCCCATTGGTTTAGGTTTGTGGTAACATAGAGGATCACGGTGGGAAGCCCAAAGAAAGAGCCAAGCTGCTCAGCTCACAGTGACTGAGAGGCAGAGAGATAAAAGTTAATGCTTGGGTCCTTAGGAAAGGGCTAGAGTTCCAATACTTGCTTCAAGGGCACACCCTTACCTCCTACGTTTTCATCACCTCCAAACTGCACCATCACCTGTGACACACAAGCTTTGGGGGGACATTTAACATCCAACTCCATACTAAAAATCAAATCATTGCATTATCCAGCTATACCCTCCTACATAAACATAAGAGAATAATGTCACCACATAACTGAGATTCCTGCACACACATGTGTATCGCAGCATCAAGTACAACAGCCAAGTGATGGAATCAGCCTAGGTCAGGGGGTGAATAGATGGATTTTTAAAAAGTGGTATTTATGCACAGTGAAGTATTATTCATCCACAAAGAATGTTGTTTGCAGAAAAATGTATGGAACTGGAAGATCAACAGATATTACACGTTTGCTCTTACATTATGAGTTTAAATAGGAGACGATATGAAAATAGAAGGAAGTCTATTAAGGAAGAGGAAGATAATATCAGGTGGAGGGATTTTTTTAAAAAGCCAATCAGCGTGAACATGGCCAAAGTCATTTAGTAGAGGAATTTTAAAACTACCAGTGTTGGTTTGCCAACTCTTTGTGGCTTACTGTGATTGAAGAGCAAACGATTCAAGATGAGACTTATTCAAAAGGGATGTTGTGACACCAATTATATGTGGAAAAAACAGGAAGCACAAGAGGCAGCGAATGGGGCTGGAGAGTTCGTGGTTTAGAGTGCTTGATAAGTAAGCAGTAATGACGACCGGATCCCAGCACTCAAGTTAGAAGTTCCCTGTACACGCCTGAAACCCTATCTTTGAGGGCGCCTCAGATAAGAGGATCACTGTGGCTAGCTGGCTTCCAGCTTAGCTAAGGAAACAGGAGCCAGCGGTCAACTGAGGAGTGAAAAAAACTCTGCCTGAAAGAAAAAGCGAGACGACATCTGACGCCCTCTTCTGGCCTCCAAGAACACTCGCGCGCGCACACATACGGATCCATCCACTCAGAAACATAAGTTTAAAAAAAAAAAAAAAATTAACAAATCTTTCAGAAGCCCTGGACGTGCATGTAGGGAGGGGGGACAGTCTCACTACATAGCTCTGGCTGGCTTGGAACTCACTATGTAGACAAAGCTAGCGTGGAATTTTCAGAATCCCTCCGCTTAGCAAACGCTGGCATTAAAAGCGTGCATCACCATGGCCGGCCTCGGATGTGTTGTTAAATGTGATACACCCTCCAGTATGAACGAGGATTATTCCAGAGAAAAAGACTAAGCCAAGACGGGACTGTTCGTTGCAGTCTGTATTTCCAGATCCATTTGGAGGGTAAACGCTGCTGGACTTGGTAACTCAGTTCTAAGGAGTTGGGTTTGGTATTATTCACCAATCAGGGACACTGTTACTCCCTTGAGCTCTCCAATGAGGAGCACGGATAGTGGAAGGTGGCGCCCTTGCCGCCATATTTGAGTTCCGGGTAGCTGAAGGGAGGAGAGTTGCGCCCGGGCTTCCTGACTGCCGGCTCCCTATGGGGGACCCCTGGATGCATCAGAAGCAGGAAATGGTGCGTCTGCCGCGGGCTCCCGGAGTGGTGGGTGGCGGGTTTGTGACCCTGCTGCGGCTTCGCTGCAGTGTGGCGCCGGCTCCCCGACGTTTCCCTGGCGCAGTGCAGCGGAGTCTGAGGTGGTGGATTCTGGCTGGCACTGGCGCCCTCACCCCCAAGTGCACTTGAATTGTGGGCAAAGCCGGCAGTCGGGAGTCTGGCGCCCAGTTCAGTCCTGTTCCTGTGAAGTGGCTTCGTTCCCAGTCCCTGTCCTCCCGTGATGAGTCTGCGCCGCGAACCCGCGCCTCTGCAGACTTGGCGGCTCTGGCGAGTTCGTGACGCCGACCGCGGTGAAGGCACAGCGCTGTGGGTGGTGTGCGCTGTTTTGCACTTTTTCATTTCCTTGTTCCTTGCATTAGTTTTACACTATGGTCACCCCGGAGAGTTGTTTTTTCTTTAAACTTCTTCTTTTTAAGTACCTCGTCCTGGGTTTGTCTTATGCAAATGCAGCTGGATTTGTGTAGCTGTGATTGGCTCTGTGCAGGCAAAATTCCCTAACTTGGAGAAAGGAGAGACATTTAAATTTACTTTCAAAATTTAATTTATTTGTACTGATCAGTTAAGCTGATCATTTCTGAGGCAGAATGTGAGTTTTGGAAAGTCTTTCCCACCTTGATAGCGATGACAGAAGCCCAGGGAGGGGAGGGATTATGTAATTCTTTTTTTCTTTTTTTATGCAGAGTTTCTGGCTGGTCTGGAACTAGCTTTGTAAACCAAGCAAGCCTGGAACTAAGATCCTCCGCAGTGCTGGGATTATAGGCGATTCTCCCCCTACTGTGCATAATTTTATTTCTGTTGTTTAGCTAGCTCTAGGCTGTTTCTCCAAATGTAGTGAGTGGGAGGTATTTCTTTAATCCCAGTGGAGGTGGAGACAGGCCTATCTCAATGTTGATGGCTAGCCAGGGCCATAACCTAAACAAACAAAAACCAAACAAAACTCCACCAAGATTATAGTCCTTGGGGAAAATATTAATACCATCAGTTCCTTCCTATTGTCTTCAGGTAGTTAGTCTTTGTAGACAGTGTAATTTTTTGTTGTTATTTTTTAAATTAATTTAAATAAAAATTTTTAAATGTATGCATATAAATATGTATGTCTGTGTGAGTGTATGTTGTATAAATGCTGCCTGTGTGGGGGACCTGCTGAGGCCAGAAGAGAGTATGGCTCTCCTGGAACTGGAGTTATAGGTAGTTGCCAGTAGCTCTTGTGGATGCTGGGAACTGAACTTGGGCCCCCTGGAAGGACAATATGTACTCATAACTGCTAAGCGATCTCTCCAACTCTGGGCAGTGTGATTTCTGACCATTGAGAAAATCTGGATTGGCCAGTCAGAAAGAAAGACATGCTTATTTTCTATTTGCTACAGAAACTATTTTGAAAGTTGATTTTAGTGTTTAGAGTATTTTTGTTATTCCAGTTAAGTTCTGATGTATCCTACACTATCCTGGAACTTCCGGTCTTCCTGCCTTCACCTCCCAAGTGCTGGCAGTGTACCGACAAGCCGGGCGTTAGGCAACACCTGGAACCCAGGGCTTTGAACATACTCGGCAGGCACTCTGCCAACTGAGCCATATCTACAGCCTTGCAGCACAGTTTTAAAAGTTGGCCTTTTTCTTAGATTCTGACAGGGAAATCCTAAAATATACGCAGACAGGAGGCAGGTGTGTGAGTAATCACAGGATTACTAAAGGCCAAGCCACTCACCGACTGTCATTAACCGCCTGTTAGTTTGAGTGGTATAATATTCCCCCATGGCCTCATGTGTTTGGTCACTTAGTTTTCAGGAAGTGGTGCTGTTTATAGGCTCTGGACCCTTCAGGAAGCAGAGTGACGTGGGAAGACTAGGGTCAGATGGCCAGGCCTTGACATTTTATAGCATGGCCTGGGGTCCTGACCCCTCTCTGCTTCCTGACTGTAGATGTAATGAGGCCCATCACATGCTGCTGTTGTCATGCTTTTCCCTGGATGAAACTCATATCTCTTCTTTAACTGTAAGCCAAAAGAAACCTTTCTTTTAAAAAATTAAAAAATTATTTACTGTGTGCCCTAGTGCCCTTGTGACAATCAAACAACTGCAGGCGTCAGTTCTGTGCCTCTGCCACATGGGACTCGGGGATCATAGTCAGGTTATTAGCCTTGCTATAAAATGTCTTTACCCACTGAGCCATCTTGTCAGCACCTTCTTTAACTTGCTTTCGCCAGCTATTTTGTCACAGTGATGAGAAAATAATAAGACTGGTACGAGAAAGTGTTCCGATACCACAGTAAACGTGGCCATGTGGTTCTTAGGCTTTGGAGCTGGTTTATGGGAGGAATGTTTTGTTGGTTGTTCCCTCCCCCTCCCCACTCCACTGCCAGCACTGTGTAAACCAATGCCTAGTTTCTGCAGATGGAGTACTGGCCAAAGAAATGATCCCAAGTGGGATAATTTAGTGAACTAGTTAGTTTACAAGGGTTACTTATATGGGTAAGGGCTTACCAACAAGAGCATGGGTAACTAACTCAACAGGAGCAGGAACACCAACAGGCCCACCCTAGCCTCATGAAAGCTATATTCCTGAAACTTCCCAAAGAACATTCAGAGATTTACTTGTTGAGTGTCTCAGCTCCCCAGTTTCTGCTTATGGGGTGACCTTGGGGAGGAGTATTATGTATGGGTCTTGTAAGTTTTAGGAGCTTCTTGAAACTTATAAGCTTCCTTTTTCTCTGCAGGAGGGACTTTTAAAAATAGGAAATAGCTGCACAGAAAATGTTGAAGAATTTGCTGCTAGCCAGAGGAGCCCTAAAATGCTGCAAGAAGAGTTTAATGGGCCATCTGGTGGGAGTTTAGAATGCTAGAGTGCCAAGAAAAATGAGGATATTAAGAGAGCCAGCTCAGAAGGAACAAGGACTCTTAGAAAGTGGGCCAGGGGTCATTCATGTGACTGTGGTTTAAAAAAAAAAATGTAGCTATGTTCCTGTGTTCTGATAAATTGACTGGGGGCTGAATTTAAAAGTATTAACCAGTTTGTGTGGTAGAAGAAATTTGAAGACAGGATAGCAGTATTCAGGCTGTCCTGGTTGCTGCTTTCTACTCTTAGTTATATAGTGGGAGCCAAGATAATGCTGGCTTTGTAGAATGAGTTTGATTCCTTTCTATTTTATGCAACAGTTTGAAGAGCATTGGTATTGGGTCGTCTTTAAAGCTTTTGTAGAAGTTGGCAGCAACTCTGTATGTTACTGGACTTTTCTTTGTCTCAGACATACTGTTATAACTGTCCAGTATTGTTGCTTGTGGATATGTTTAGATTGTTATTTTCTTGATTCTATTTAGTATGTCATCTGTGCCTAAGAAATTGTTCATTTCTTCTGTATTTTCCAGGTTTTAAAATATAGTTTTCAGAGTATTATTTGATGTCCCTCTGCATTTTCCTGGAATGTTTATAAGTTCCCCTATTTCATCTCTTTTTATTAATTTGTTCTCTTCCTCTCTTTTTGTTGATTTTGCTAGGTACTTGCAAATCTTTTTTCTATAAACCAGCTGTTCGATTTGTTATATTCTTTTGATGTCCATTTCATGCTTTCTCACCTGATCTTTACTATTTCTATTGTGTACCTTTGGATTTGCTTATTCTCGTTTTTCTAAGGCCATGTGTTTGCATTATTAGGCTATTTAAAATCAATCTCTCTCTCTCTCTCTCGCTCTCTCTCTCTCGCTCTCTCGCTCTCTCGCTCTCTCGCTCTCTCGCTCTCTCGCTCTCTCGCTCTCTCCAGGGTTTCTCTGTGTAGCCCTGACTGTCCTAGAACTTGCTCTGTAGATCAGGCTGTCCTTGAACTCACAGAGATCTACCTGCCTCTGACTCCCAAGTGCTAGAATTAAAGGCATGCATCACCACTGCCCAGCTATCTTTTTTTTTAATATAAGCACTTATAAGTGTAACCTTCCCTTTATATTGCATTGGTTGTATCCCAAAGTTCATGGCAAGTTTTGCTTTTTTATATTCATTTTATTCTAATTCTGATATTCTGATTTTCTTAGTGACTTACTGGATACTCAAGAGTGGATTGTTCATTTTCTACTTAATGATTTTTCTAAAGTTTACAATGATATTAATTTTTAGTTTTATTTATTTGATAAAATATAATACATTATTTCAATTTTTTTTGTATCCTTGAATATGGTCTACTTTAGAGTAGGTACCATGGGCTGCTGAAAAGAATACAATCTGTATCTCTTAGATGAGTTTTTTTTTTTTTTTTAAAGATTTATGTATTTTTAGTATGTATACAGTGTTCTGTCTGCAGGCCACAAGAGGGCGCCAGATCTCACTACAGATGGTTGTGAGCCACCATGTGGTTGCTGGGAATTGAACTCAGAACCTCTGGGAGAGCAGCCAGTGCTCTTAACCTCTGAGCCATCTCTCCAGCCCTTTATATCAGTTACATCCATTTAATATGTGGTATAGTTTTGCTGCTATGCATATTTGTAAATTTTTGCTTTGACTGGTCTAAGGATGAGAGTGGGCTACTGAATTTTACTATTACTATACGAAGACATAGCTGACCTACATCCATTAGTATTTGTTTTTGAAATTGGGAGCTTCAGTAATTGGTTTATGTATGCTTACATTTTTATGTTTTAATATATTCTTTACTAATGTATAGTGAACTTTTTATATCTTCTGATTTTGTTTTGATGTCTACTTTATCAGAGAACAAAATATGCCATCTTGATTTACATTTCCATTCACTGAATAGATTGACTTCCATCTTTTTACTCCCTGATGTTAGGTGTCTTTATCAATGAAGTATGTTTCTTAGAGACATTAGACAGTTGGATCTACATTTTTTTCATTAAAATTAAAAAAAATTATTTTATGTGCATGAATATTTTGTCTGCATATATGTATGTGCTCTACATGCTTGCCTGGCACCCACAGAAGTCAGAGTAGGGTTCAGATATCCAGGAATTGAAGTTAATGGGGGTGTTGTTAACCACCATGTAGATGCTGGGAATGGAACCCAGGTCCTCTGGAAGAGCAGCAAGTGCTCTTAACTACTGAGTCATTTCTCCCATACCTCTCCCTCCACCCCCTAAAAAAAAACTATGTTGTCTGGGGATAGGGGTCATAGGGAGTAGGGTGAAGAGAATGAGGGCTGGTATACACCTTTAATCCCAGCACTCAGGAGGCAGAGGCAGGCTGTTCTCTATCAAGGCAAGCCTTGTCTATAGAGTAAGATCTACACAACACAGTGAAACCCTGTCATGAAAAACCAAAAAAAAAGAAAGAAAAATATGTGTATGGTTGTATGGCCTGAATGTGTGTCTGTGTGCCACATGTATGCCTGATGCCCATGGACCCAGAGGAGGGCATAGAATCCCCTGGAACTGGAGTTAGAGACGGTTGTGAGCCACCGTGTGTACTAGATTAAGATTGATAGATGCAACATGAAAATAAAAGAAAACGGGGTTGGAGAGATGGCTCAGAGGTTAAGAGCATTGGCTGCTCTTCCAGAGGCTATGAGTTCAATTCCCCACAATCACATGGTGACTCACAACCATCTACAATGAGATCTGGTGCCCTCTTCTGGCATGCAGGCAGAACACTTTATACATAATAAATAAATATATCTGAGAGAGGGGGGGGGGGGAAGAAAAGTCATCTCCAGGAGCAGAATTGTTCCCCCCTCCCCTCAAGACAGAGTTTCTCTGTGTAGCCTTGGCTGTCCTGGAACTTGCTCTGTAGACCAGTCTGACCTCGAACTCATAGAGATCTGCCTGCCTCTGCCTCACAAGTGCTGGGATTAAAGGCATGCACCACCACTGCCTGGCCAGAATTGTTCTTTTAATCAAAACAATTGAAAGGCCTCTATCTCTGTGCAGGAGTGGAGACTGTGTTCATGTGGCACAGGGTGCTTGGAGGTGTTAGGAGGAAAAAGGTTGAGATGGAAGATTCCATCTACACGTCAGTTCCTCGTAGTCTCAAAATGGCAGATAACCAATGGAGTGAAGCTTCTTGGATTCTGACAAGTGAAGCCTTTCTTCCTAACAAGTCCCCCTCTTTGTTTGAAACCTACTGAATTTAATTGGGATTGTTTGAATTACCATGTGTAGATTTTATTTTGTTTTTTGAGACTGGCTCTTAGTATGTAGCTATAGTTGGCCTGAAACGTGAGAATCCTGTTTGCCTTTGCTTCCAATTTTGGGGATTAAGGATGTGTGCCATCACAGCCAGCTGTAGGCTTGTTTTTACTGGAGTATGGACAACTATAGCACTGAACAAAACTGATTCCTTCCCTAGCCATCACTGACAACCAGTATCTCCTCAGAAAGGGCTGGGCCCCAAAGAACCCCTCCCCTGTTCATGATGGAGTGTTGATGGGCACCATCTTGTGCAGGTAACCACAGTCTCTGAATTCAGAAGTACACTGGCTACGTTATGTTCAAAAGACAGCATGTCACACCCCTCCTTGATTTCCCGTTTAGGCCTGAGCACTCACAGTTGCTCTCAGTGCCTCTCAGTGCTTTGACCAGTTGAGTAGTCTCTGCACTAACTGTTAGCTTCTGCAAATAAATGCTTCCTCACCAAGTCTGAGAGCAGTGCGTGTCTGGATATGTTTATAAATAGCCAAAGAACAGTTGACAGCATGTTGGTTTAGAAAAGCAGCAGTAGTTCCCCCTTAGGGCCTGTAACTTCTCTGCAATGGACATCTGACCAGGTTTAGAGTAACAAACGTGTGTTCTTTCATGTGGAGAATGCCTCAAATCCAGTGAGAAAGCAGTTGGTTACCCTATGTCTTGGTTAGGGTTTCTATTGCTGTGATAAAACACCATTAACAAAAGCAATATGAGGAAGAAATGGTATATTTGTATTACCTTTCCATTCTGTCATTGAGGGAAGTCAGGGCAAGAACCTGGAGGCAGGAACCGAGGCAGAGGCCATAGAGGAATGTTCCTTACCTTGGCTTAGTCAACCTGCTTTCTTATACCATTCAGGACTACCTGCCTAGGCATAGCACTACCCATAATGAGCTGGCCCTCACACATCAAATCATCAGGCTAGAAAATGCAATACAGGGTTGCCAACAGGCCAATATGGTAGATGCATTTTTTTTTTTCCATTTGAATTTCCTTCTTCCCAGATGACTCTAGCTTTGTCAAGTTGATATAAAACTAGCCAGCACACTTCAATAACCTTCAAGCTACTATTGCACTTGTGGTATGTGTTGACTAGAATGTTGGTGTTATAGGTCACTGGGCTTGCAGCTGATAAGATCATTGATGACTTTTCTTCCTCAGTATTGAGGAAGCTTCCAGCTGTTTCAGGTTGATTTTTCCATGTCTTGATTTTTGACTCTCATCTATCACACTGCTTCCCTGCTACTTCTAGAATAGTCATATCATACAACCAACCTAGCTGTATATCAGTGAATGAACTAATAAACCATGATCTATATGTTTATTAAATTATGTATGTAAATGTGTGATCTATATTTATGTCTGTGTGTTCACCTACATACATATAAACACTATGGTGAATTGTATGGCTATAAAGAAGAAAGGTACCAGGGGTTGGAGAGATGGCCCAATGGTTAAAAGAACTTAGTATTCTCCTAGAGGATCCAAGTTTGGTTCCCTGTAACTCATTAGTTCTAGCTTCAGGTGTGTGTGTGGGTGTCCTACTGTCATCTTCTGACCTCTGCAAACACACACACACACACACACACACACACACACACACACACACACACCATGTACTAACCCATAAACACACACATAAATACATCCTAAAAGAAATAGATCATGTCATTTTCAGTAAAATGTTTTAAAGTCCAGCACCATCATTGTAACTAAGCCAGAGTGAGGAAGGATAAGTACTGTATATTATACTTTGCATGTAGAAAACACCTGAAAGTAGAAAAAAAATCTAAAAGTAGAATGGGGGTGCTGGAGAGATGGCTCAGAGGTTAAGAGCACTGACTGCTCTTACAGAGGTCCTGAGTTCAATTCCTAGCAACCACATGGTGACTCACAACCATCTGTAATGAGATGTGGTCCCTTCTTCTGGCCTGCATTCATACATGCTGTATACATAATAAATAAATAAATCTTTAAAAAAAATCTCAACTTCTTAAAAAAAATGAAAGTAGAATGGGAAAAGTAAAAGTTAGAAGGTGAGAATAAAAGGAGGCAGCCAGATGTATGGTGACTATTTGAAGAATGAAGCATGAAGTAAACTGATCATGTGACTATGTATGTGTTTTTCTCTTATTCTTCCTGTAAATGTATGTGGATTATTTTAGGAGCCAGTGACCTTTGAGGATGTGGCTGTAAACTTCACCCTAGGAGAGTGGACTATGTTGGATTCCAGTCAAAAGAAGCTCTACAGAGATGTGATGAAGGAAACCTTTATGAACCTGATTTCCATAGGTAAAAACAGAACTACTCAAATTCCTTTACTTTAATCATAACAGTTGTTTCCTGTTCATCTGTGTAATTTTTTAAAAAGTGAAAGAATGATGTTATCCAATGTCACATGCTTGGTCATATTATAACAAAAAAAATGTTATTTTGAATAAATCTGAATAATTTCTTTGGGTTTACTTTAGGGAAAACAGAAGAAGAAGATATTGAAGAGTACCAGAAGCCTAAGGGAGACCTGAGGTAAATTACCGTCACAAAAAGATACACATCTAGTATCTGGTGGTGATAGGAAATCTGAGAACTTCTGTAATACAGTGAGCTTGAACACTTAAAATATTGAAAGATCCGTGAAGTTATATGACATTTTCGGTGATTCATTATACAACTTTCCTTTATGCACAAAATTTCAGAATATTAATCAAGATTTGAATATAAGGAGTGTATGAAGTAAAGTGAATTTGGGGTTTAGATTGAGACTCATCTTTAGTAAGTCATGTGAACAATTATTCATTTATTTCAAATGTCATAATAAAAGCCATTTTGCATTATGATGTTCAACTGCTGTCTTGGCTTAGTGCCATATACGATTAATGTTTGTGAAACACCTGAGAGTACTATAGAACCTTATTTGACTGTATGCCATCCTCAGGACCTCTAGTTAAATGTTTAGCCCTTAAATGTTCATAGTGATTCACTTATTTATTTATTTTTTATCCTTTTAAAGATTTATTTATTTATTATGTATATAGTGTTCTGTCTGCATGTATACCTGCAGGCTAGAAGAGGGCACCAGATCTTATTATGGATGGTTGTGAGCCACCATGTGGTTGCTGGGACTTGAGCTCAGGACTTCTGGAAGAGTGCTGTTAACCGATGAGCCATCTCTCCAGCCCTGATTCCCTTTTTTGTTTTTCCATATAAAGTTGAGTATTGTTCTTTCCAAGTCTGTGAAGAGTTGTGTAGGGATTTGATGGGGATAGCATTGAATCTGTAGATTGTTTTTGGTAAGATTGCCATTTTTACTATGTTAATCCTACCTATCCATGAGCATGAGAGATCTATTTTCTGATATTTTCTTCAATTTCTTTCTTCAGAGATTTAAAGTTCTTATCATACAGGTCCTTCACTTGTTTAGTTAATGTTACCCCAAGATATTTTATATTATTTGTGATTATTGTAAAGGGTGATGTTTCTCTAACTTCTTTCTCAGCCCTTTTATCATTTGTATAGAGGAGGGCTACTGATTTTTTTGAGTTGATCTTGTATCCTGCAACTTTACTGAAGTAGTTTATCAGCTGTAGGAGTTCTCTGGTAGAATTTTTGGGGTCACTTATGTACACTATCATATTGTCTGCAAATAGTGAAAGTTTGACTTCTTTCCAATTTGTATCCCTTTGATCTACTTTTGTTGTCTTATTGCTCTAACTAGAACTTCAAGTACTATATTGAATAAATATGGGGAGAGTAGACAGCCTTGTCTTATTCCTGATTTTAGTGGAATCACTTTGAGTTTCTCTCCATTTAATTTGATGTTTGCTGTTGGCTTGCTATAAATTGCCTTTATTATGTTTTGGTATGTTTGTATTCCTGATCTCTCTAAGACCTTTATCATGAAGGGGTGCTGGATTTTGTCAAAGGCTTTTTCATCATCTAATGTGATGATCATGTGGTTTTTGTCTTTCAGTTTGTTTATATTGTGTATTACATTGACAGATTTTCATATGTTGAACCATCCTTGCATCCCTGGGATGACACCTACTTGGTTATAGTGGATAATTTTTTTGATGTGTTCTTGGATTCGGTTTGCCAATATTTTGTTGAGTATTTTTGCATCAATGTTCATGAGAGAGATTGGTCTGTAGTTCTCTTTCTTTGTTGCATCTTTGTGTGGTTTGGGTATCAGGGTAACTGTAGCCTCATAAAAAGAGTTTGGTAATTTCCTTCTGTTTCTGTTGTGTGGAACAATTTGAAGAGTATTGGAATTAGCTCTTCTTTAAAAATCTGGTAGAATTCTGCACTGCAACCATCTGGTCCTGGGCTTTTTTTTTTTTTGGCTGGGAGATGACTGTTTCTATTTCCTTACGGGCTATTGGTCGATTTAATAGTTTATCTGGTCTTGATTTAACTTTGGTATGTGGTACCTATTCAGAAAATTGTCCAGTTTTTTTTTCAGATTTTCCAATTTTGTGGAGTACAGGTTTTTGAAGTATGATCTGATGATTCTCTGGATTTCCTCATTGTCTGTTGTAATGTCTCCCTTTTTATTTCTGATTTTGTTAACTTGGGTGCTCTTTCTTCTGCCTTTTGGTTAATTTTGATAGAGGTTTGTCTATCTTGTTGATTCTTTTCAAAGAACCAACTCTCTGTTTCATTGATTCTTTGTATTGTTCTCTTTGTTTCTATTTCATTGATTTCATCCCTCAATTTGATTATTTCCTGGCATCTATTCCTTCTGGGTGAGTTTGTTTCTTTTTGTTCTAGAGCTTTCAGGTGTGCTGTTAAGTCACTAGTGTGAGATTTCACCAACTTTTTTATGTGGACATTTAGTGCTATGAATTTTCCTCTTAGCACTGCTTTCATAGTGTCCCATAAGTTTGGGTATATTGTACTTTCATTTTCATTGAATTCTAGGAAATCTTTAATTTTTTTATGTCTTCCTTGACCCATTGGTGCCTCAGTTGGGCATTATTCAGTTTCCATGATATTGTAGGCTTTCTATAGTTTTTGTTGTTGTTGAAATCTAACTTTAAGGCATGGTGGTCTGATAAAATACAGGAGGTTATTCCAGTGTTTTTGTATCTGTTGAGATTTGCTTTGTAACCAAGCATGTGGCCAATTTGCGAGAAGGTCCCATGGGGTGCCGAGAAGAAGGTATATTCTTTTGTGTTAGGGTGGAATGTTCTATAGATATCTATTAAGTCCATTTGAGTCATAACATCTGTTAGGTCCTTTATTTCTCTGTTAAGTTTCAGTCTGGTAGATCTGTCCATTGGTGAGAGTGGGGTGTTGAAATCTCCTACTGCTAGTGTGTGGGCTTTGATGTGTAATTTAAGCTTTAGTAATGTTTCTTTTACAAATGTGGGTGCCTTTGTATTTGGGGCATAAATGTTCAGAATTGAGACTTCATCTTGGTGGATTTTTCCTGTGATAAATATGAAATGTCCATCCTGATCTCTTTAGATTTATTTTAGTTTGAAGTCTCTTTTATTAGATATTAGGATAGCTACACCAGCTTGTTTCTTAGGTCCATTTGCTTGGAAAGCCTTTTCCCAGCCTTTTACTCTGAGGTAGTATCTGTCTTTAAAGTTTAAGTGTATTTCTTGTATGCAGCAGAAGGATGGATCCTTTTTTCGTATCCATTGTTAGCCTGAGTCTTTTTAAGGTGAGTTGTGACCATTGATATTGATGGATATTAATGACCAGTGATTGTTAATTCCTGTTATTTTTTGGTGGCAGTCTTGTTTCCCTTCTTTGGTATGTTGGTGTGGGATTATCTATTGCCTGTGTTTTCATGG